CCAAAAACCCATTTGTTATATACTGAATCATTTAACCTTTAATGTAAATATACATGGGGCTGGCACACTAATGGTTGAAATAGTACACATTTGTCCATAGTGTAGTGCACTATGTTTTTTTTTTGTTTTTTCAATTTGCTGTGACAGAAACCTTTAGTTTTAGAAGTGTCTTGTTCAGTCATGCACATTTACATAATATGTGAAGAGGACACTTTCGTCAACCAATCAAATAAAATGTTCTTTGTTTTGAAGCATGCATGTTACTTGTTTGTAACTCAAGAAATTTCTTCTAATTGAAAGAAATTATTTACAATTTATAATTCATACAAACCTGTTTGCACGTTTTTCATTTTTTTTTCTCAGATCATTGATATTGATAATTAATCTGTTATCATTGTCTGTAATCATCTCCTTCACCTTGTCTTGATATACACCTTCTTGTTGCTACAATGGAAAAATTATTATATGATCTCGACACATTTTCATGTGTCAACAATTGTTGGTATATTGTAGTAATTCACTAGCAGGTAACAGACACTTTTGTGAAATAATGTCCTCACAAACATTTCCAATACAGCAAACATCTCTTACATTCTCCAAAAACCACAAAAATCGAATGAATTTCTTTTTAAAATCTGATCAGAAGGGAATATGGAGTTTGAGATACCATCATCAGATGTGTATATAGCACATTATTAAAGCGAGGGAGTTATCACCTGCATATGCATCAGATGGCCATATCATGTCATGTCATTGTTTACAAACATTCACCCACCCATGAGCCTTCGTGATTTTAGAATGAGTTTATCATCGATTAGGGCTCAATTCCCACACTTGCACAAGTGATGACACCTTTAATTTTTTTTAATTAGGTTATTTTATTATGAAACCAGTAAAAAATTTTTGAAATGTATTATGTTGTTTAATAAATTAATACTAATTTAAAAACACTTATTTTCATTTAATTTCAGTAGTTTGATGTTTGAGCACATTCACTGTGTTTTAATTTCACGATTTTGTCAAGGTACCATCAAGTTTTATTGTTATTTTATATGTTCACGTAGATTTAATTTAGCGGATTTTAATTATCAGTGAAAGTAAAACCCAGTGAATAATTAATGCATTTATAGTATTCGGAGTTTATATAATTATAATATTGTTTAGATTCTAACAGCGAGCAAGTTGATTTCTGAAATAATGGTTACACATATAAACCGGGTTTCACGGTACAAACAATGGAGAATATTGAAAATAAATAAATCACACAAATTCACAATCTTGAAAATGTGGCCATTATTACTGTAAAATAGATTTGGTGTCATTCTAAAGAAATAACGTAGATCTAGAATCCTACCACAACATTAATTTCAAATCGTATTCGACACGCATTCTACCGAATATTGTCGCCGATCGTTCAGAATTGCGAGTTTCGATCGACGACAGTATACAAAGGAGGACATTTTTAAATCAAACAGTCTGACACTTCCAACGTGATAAACCATCAAGTTTCCCGATTACGATACTTACGTCATCGTCAAGAAAATCCAGATACTCTCGCTGAATGTCCCGCATCTCATGATCAACATCAATGTCCATCATGGTGATTTTTAGCTTCGAAAATCGTCAATCAAAAGTAACAAAACAAAAATCCAACCGCCGACGAGCAAGACTCTACAAGTCAATGCAAAATAGTTGTGCCAATTTCGCGCCAAATCAGTCACATGTCCTATGTTCCATTTAAAGAGGTCATGAAGGTCATGGAGTGAAAGTAGCGCCAATTCAACTAAAGATAATTACAAATAAAGTCAAATTTTAGTCTTGAGAACTCAGTTTGTTAATTTAAAACAGATAACTCTTGTTAATATTTGTTTACAATTTTATTAATGTTTCCCATCATACTACTGTGGGGTTAAAGGTGAAATACATTTTTTTAAATGGCTGCGCCCATGCGATGATCTAAATTTATTTTCCAATGGCCGAGTCGGCGAAAATGGAGGATGATGTAAGCAACTCAAAAGAATCTGAACCACCAATCCTCATAAACTTAACAAATGGCAAGATTTTTATTTGGGACGCTGAAGGTAAACACCATAATAACATTTCACGTGTAATTTACGTTTCTGACAACATCATCCTCGTTGTTGTTGCTATTGCCATCGTGATCGTTGATTATTTTTATTTTATCCCAAATTTTGATATTTATGATCCACTTTAGGATTTCGGCCAAGTTAAATTAGATTTTAATATTTAACTTCAAACATGGAAAGCATATACGATAGTGATCACTATGGAAGTTCAATTTTGTTATGACTAGGAAGTATAATTTAATTTGTCTAAAATTAAAAACATTCGTAAAAACATAGACCTTAGAAATAAAAAAATGTAAGTGAACAAAATTAATGACATTTACACTGCTTATATTATAACTTAAGAGATAACATGTGTATACCCTCCTCCCGGTATATAGAAGAGTATAACCCCGGAGTATAACAGATATCTATATACCATAAGAGTTTGAAAAATGTGCACTTCCGGTCAATAGGCAGTGCCATTTTGTTTATTTGTTTCAAAATTATGCAAATCAAAACAGCTCATTCATCATGAAACATTTTCAGAATGTTGTGCGGTGACAAGGTAATCGTTTTCCGGCAACACATAAAATAGTTAAACTTTGAATACTTTCAAGTCATCAGTGGCGACACACGAATTGTGCGTGGTGCCATCCTGAATCTCGCATGAACTAATAAGTTGACTTCCGCAGTTCATGTGTGCGGACATTCTATGGTTACATCGGTTCTATTTTTAGTAAATCAAAAAACTACTCAGCTGTACTCTATTTACCAGGCATTGTCTGTTACATATTATAACTCATGTCCTATTAATCCTCATCACATGACCTAAGTGCATATCATTCACAGTAGTAATGTTAAAATTGATACTTCACACTTAACTTAGTGACATGCACAGTAAACATCATCAGTCTCAGTCTGTGTTTGAACTGTACACAGATCATGCTACAGTAACATTTGCATGTAGTAGAATTTTACACTGCTGATCATGCGAGTCAAATGTTTGCAATATAATTACTCTCCGATGTTATATTAATTATGTATATATTCCTTCTGCCAAAAAAGGTTTATACATCATTTTACTAGTAAATTATTTTCCAAGGGACATTACAGTACATGTAGTATTATTTGAGAAACATTAATAATGTACAATGACTTCATTGTTATCTTTTTGTGATAATTGTTTGGATCTGTCCCCATCTAGATTTTAGCATTTTTTTCCATGCAAAATTATGTTTAGATACAGTGTATATTATTTTATTGTTTTGAGATTTTTATTTGCACTTCTTCCATGCAACGAAAAGATTGTACCAAGGATTGACTATTTAACCCAATATATTGAAGAATATAAGAAAAAAGTGCAGATAAATTTGGATAAGAAAATCTGGTGGTGAAAAGATTTGAATGATGTAAATAACAGTAATATGTTGTTTGTTTTATTTCAGATGTAATGAAAGTGAGAGAAGTTCACCATATCATGGGCACCTTAGTTGGTACATTAAGTAGATCACCACGTCAGAATATCCAGCATGGTCTGCCATTACAGTTATTACCTGAAGAAGCTGCTTTGCTTATTGAATATAGTAAGTGTGGGATATTCATTAGGCAGATACAAACCATACTTGTCTGACTAAGCACCCATGCTTGACTAAGCACCCCCCCCCCCCTACACACACCCCCTACACACACACCCCCACACACACACACACACACACACACACACACACACTTTAGGGGTATTTCTATTTTCGGTTTCATGCTCAGCTAAGCACCTATTCTTTTCAAAATGCCCCAAATTTTATTTTCTGGTCATAAAACCTGGTCTTTAAAGGATGTTTGACTTTTCCGAATACCAGTAATCAAATTATTTGAACATCGTGTAAATGTGTAGTACTAATCGTGCTTGAACTATGATTTGACAATGATCTGTTAACAGTCGTGAGAGGTAGTAAACGCTCCATTCCATATTCCATTTACCTTCCAAAAATTGCTATTTCTTTTAAAAATATTACATGTATGATAATTTTTGCTGAATTCCAACAGATTCTAAATTTAAAAACAGGGTTTATCAGCAAAAACCTTTTGTCAGAAGTTGCTATCATAGACATGGCTGCAGTAAATGTAGCAGTCAATTTTATGTAAAAAACGACTCTAGATTTATGCAGAACATATAAAAGAGAAATACTCAAATTGCAATTTGTGAATGACATAAAATATAACTTACTACACATGAAAAGTGCTGTTATAAGCGACATGGCCAACATTTGGATTTACAATACATCGTTGTCCAAAAAGTTTTGAATAGAGTCAATCTGGCTTAACAGATCACTTATTAAAATAACATACCAATTAGTTGGTATAAAAAGACTTTATTTCACACTTTATGCATCGTCCGCCTGCAAAGTGTTGTTCTGGTCGAACATTCCAGCCTTCCTACTCCACATGGTTGCATGATAGAAAATTTACCGACTAATAGAAAGTTTTGTTACAAATGACTGCTAAAAAGTGCTTGCATTTCTGATGTCTTCATCTTCGGCTTCATTTCTGTCGATATATGTTGCAGTGACATGAGCTCTGAGGTATAACACCTGCTCCTTCATAATACTCGACAGTGGTGACAACACTACTGCCATGCTCGATGGTCGCAAGGCAGGTACATGTATTAAAAGCATAATAACATAATGATTTACCAGTTCCAGTGCGACTAACAAAGATCACATCAGACTCAGAACTGAGTATAGCTTGAATAGCTTTGGTCTGAATATCTATGAGTTGTATGTCTCGATATCATCGCTGTATTGCCTCGACATCTAAGCAAACACAGCTTCCACTGTGCACACTCATATTTGTTTTGATAGCTTAGCCAAGCACGTCGATGAAAGTAACAATCTGATTGGCTGTTGATAAATTGATCCTAAACTGTGAGGGCACTGTAGGTATAAAAAAATCACTAACAAAATCGAATAAGACAAACATCACTAAAAGTGTTTCTAGAAGTATGGTATCACAATGATGAAAGGAAAACTAATAAGGGAGATAACAGTTTTATTGATGAGTTTGTTTTGGTGTTGCTGTAAATACCAATGCAAATTAAAGATTGTAGAATATAATGTAAATTTATTTCTCATACTGAATACTAAGTCTGTAGCTAAGATCATTAAATGTTTTTTGCTCACTAACCAGGATGTGTTTCTTTCAGATGTAGCAAAGTTAGTCAAGCTGAAGCCACTGAAAGTAAGTGCGGCAATGGTAGAGGATTTCAAAAAACACAGACAACAATCATTTGAAGAGCAGGTAAACAGACATATAATAATCATTTCTTTTTGTTCTTTACCTAGCTGTCAGTTGCTTCACATTTCTGGCATGATCACGTCAAAACAGACAAGCTGTTACTTCACATATACTGTAAATGTATTAATTATTCATTGGGTTTTAAAATATAATTTGTTAAATTAAATCTATGTGAACGTGTAAAATAAAAATAAAACTTATTGTTTTTTTGACAAATTCATGAAATTAAAACACAGTGAATGTGCTCAAAACATCAAAATAGTGAAATTAAATGATTTTTACAGTAATGTGTGCAGTCTTTGTTCAATCATCAGAAAGTTATCATGAAGCAGGGAAAAGAAACAATAGAACAAGAAATGGCAGAAGTGATTGAGGCAGGCAGAGCTGCAAAGAGGAGAAAAAAAGGAGCTGGCAAAAGGTGGCACAGAAATCAGCAGGTGTGCAAGACAAGATAAAATAAGTCAAGGACAACATGAAGAACCTCACCTCAAAACAGAAGATATTCTACAACACACTGATGAACCACAGTGTGAAGTGTTAGACTTGAGTGTCGCAAAATCAAACACTAACATTCCCAGCTCTAAATCTGAATATAAAGAGACCGATACGAAGGAAGGTATGGACATTGAAAATATTGAGGGCAATAGGACAACAGATCTAAATGATGGGATAGCTGTGGAGAAACATTCTGGGTCACCTGATTCACTCAAATCACCTGACCGATGCAAGTCACTTGACCAACCCGTGTCACCTGATCCTTGCCATGTGAAAACACATGATAACAATGACATGAGAACAGCAAAGAATGATAAAACCAAAGAACGGTCACTTTTATCAAGCACCAGCCAGTCAGCAGAAAAGGTTGAAAATGATGGTGATAAGGAGGACTCTGATATTTTCCAACAGGCATGTATGGTACAAATACCAACAGGTAAGAATCTTACTATATGCAACATAGTACCAGCCAATACATTCACAGTTTGGATGATGCTTTTAAACTCTTTACACTCTTTACAAATCAAGCTTAAATTTGGAAGTCCTTTGTTGTTTTAATTCTGGACACTGTAATATATACACTTAAACTTTCTAAAACTGATTTAAATTCAACTAAAACTTTTTAGCAAACAATATAGTTGCATGTTTTTTTTGCAACTGTGAAACAAGAAATAATAAAACATAAATTAGAATGAATGAATGAATGAGTAGACATCAGATATTCTAACCTATCACTACAGTGCCTACAGTTAGACAGCTTGCAGCCAAAACATGACAAAATCTAAAAAAATTCAGCAAAACAAACTTCCCAGTAAAATTAATGGAAAGTCCAATGATATAACCATAATTTAAAAAAAAAGAAAAGAACATTAACACATTGCTTGAAAGCAGGGGAGGTAAAAAAAATGGTTTAACATGGGGCTCTATGG